GTAATCATTACTGTTACCCTAGAGTATCTACAATTTCGATTCATATCTCGAAATGAAATTACTTGGACTGAGGAATTCTGAGATTATCTTGGCTCTTCAACAGCCCCGCACCGATTATTTAAAGAGAGGTTTTTCCTACAGGAGTGCTATGTTGTGGAACAGCTTTTCTCATGAGCTCCGATCTACAGTTTCTTTAGGCGAATTTAAACGTAAACTGCGTCATTACAGCTTTCAATGAGACAGGGCATCCTTGAAAAGCAACTTTAGTGATATGATATGTTTTAATTCTTATAATGCTATTAATATTAATTATTAGTTAATTTAGCTAGGCAAACTTAGGTATTTTACACTTTTAAGTAGTGCTAAAGGAATTTTTACCGTGTATAAATAAAGTTTTCAATCAATCAATCAATCAATCTTAATCAGGTTACAGCTTTTTAGCTTTTTTTTGTTCCACTACAGTTAATTGTTCCTTCCTCCGTTAAGGTCTCACAAATGTCTCATCTCTTGTGATAGAAAGTTTTCTTCTAAAGGGCCAAACTCTGAGGTTTCGTGGCCACTATGTGTCGGGTATCCGCAAAGTCTTTATGTGCCGAGTCAAACTACCTGTGACTCTGAATGAGGTGGCTGCGCACCAAGAATGAGAGACCACTTGTAGATTGTTGCATTTGCGAGTCCCAGGCAATTCTGTTGATATGAATGAGGCAGTTGCGTTCCACTGCCATCGGAGCCACTCACGAGTCATATCTATCTTCCTCTTGGACTGTACAGCAGCTTTTTCCCGTTTGTCGCCCACTCCAAAGGAACTGATCTCTAAATTTAGCTTCGCTACGATGTCTTCAAGGCCGGGATCAATGAGATTATTTCTAACACTAGTAAGAGACTCTTTCAATGTTTTTGAAAACGTTAATGACGTGTTGGGTTGGAGAGTCGTGGCAATCGTCGTGGCTTTCGAAGAACTTCGTATCTTCGTTACTAGCTCGGAGACATTCAGCGAGATCCCCCTGGTCGCTTGTAAATGGCGATTACGTGTGCAATAGTACCATCGAATCGCACTTTACGGTTTCGCGAACCTTCCATTGGCAGTCGAAAACCGTAGGTCAATCGGCAACGGCCGTCTTGTAACTCAGGAACCGATTTCCAAATTTAACATCCGTGCGATGTCGTTGCGGCCAAGATCAATGAAAATATTCCTTAGACTAGTAAGTGGCATCTTCATCGTCTCAAACACGTTAACGACGTGTTGAGTTGGAGACTCGTGATAATTCTTGCGGCTTTCCAAAAACTTTATATCTTCGTTAGTAGCTCCAAAGCATTCGGCGAGATCTCTCCAATCGCTTGTAAATGGCGATTCAACGTCCAATAGTTTCATTAACTCGCATCTTACAGTGTCGGAAACCTTAGATTGGATATTAGGCAGCGGAGATCCGTACTTGAGTCGATAACGGCCGCCTTTCTGTAAAAAAAAAAGAAGAAAGGGGATTAGAATCGAAGTCTTCAAATCACGAGAGTCAACTAAGTGAAGAAAAAAGACCTGATGCATTCTTATCGCTACAAGCAATTAACACTATGGTCTGCAGCATGAATGAATAGAGTACTATGCCAGGAGTCTCTCTCAGGTAGCCTCTAGACTACAAGTAGTCCCTCTTTCGCTTAGTCCGTCGAGCGAGACGCGAAAGAAAACTCCCGAGAAAAAATGGCCGCGTCCCCAGGATCTCGCGCGGCCATTTTTTTCTGTGGCACTGACCACAATAATTTGGTGATATCCATTTACCTGTTGGGTGGAGAGAAAGACACTTAGGATAAAGTTACCAGCCCAAGAAATCAATGCTTCAAGAACGAGCCCATGAACCACGGTCAGACTGAATGAGACATTCCAAATCAAGAAGAGCAAATCAAGTAGCGCCTTTCCGTTATATACGAAAACACTTCGAATAATAACGTGTAAATAAATGTGGTGAACGGGAATAAAGGTTATAGTGAAGTTGAATTTGCTAAAACTTTCAGAGGTTTTTCTTCATGTCGTGTTCCTGATTCCAAGGCAATAATCGATCATTTATTCAGAGTTTGCTACTACAAATACGTTCCTTCGAAACTACACTCGATCCATAATAGTAAGTTACACGACAAAAAAATTTTCCTGATTTTGTGAACGAAATCTTATTCAAAGATACAACATGTTAGACTGAGAGTTACGGTTATGTATTCTCCAGCAAACTTGCAACATTCTTCAAACCATTACAAAGAATCATAAGAATAAAATTGTTTCTAGTTTTCTCCATGCACATGCAGGTTTTGTTTTTCGTGTGTAGCTAAACGTGCGCGATAAATTTTAATCGCAAATAATGGTTGCTCGTTATTTGAAAAAAATGAGGTTATGTGTTTTTTGCTTGCTTTATTTTAACAGCATTTGCCATTGCTGTGCCATAGCGTAAAAACATATAGCTGCGAAATTGTTATGAATAAATAAAAGCCAAAAAGAAGGAAACTATTGTGTTCTTGGGCAAGACTCTTACATTTGCACAGTGCCCCTCTCCAACCAGACCCCAGTTGTTCAAAGGGTGGATAACACTATTCACAGGACAAATCACTATCCAGTAGATACCGATAATGAAGTTTGTTTTGCCAACATTTATCCATAGGATAGTGATTTATACGGTCTCGGTGGATAGCGTTATCTACCCTTTAAAGAGATATTCGTTTAATATACAATGATAAGCGTAACCTCAAGTGATCCTGGAAAGCAAGCTACGATAGACTAGTAAAGGACCTTGGAGAGTATAACAATACTCATTGGCTTAACATAAAAACCGAATTAAATCAGTTGCTTGCTTGATTAATCACACTTGTCAAAAACAAGTCGAAAACATCTCCAAAAACGTGTACTTTTGAAAGCAACAGATAAAAATTGCAAACCTTCGTTAGGCCGATGTGAAAGACCTTGAAATATTCCCTCCAATAAGAGTGAACGTCATCCATATCGTCTTCGTACGCTGCTGAACAGAAAAAAAAAGGTTTGGTCAATATTCAAGTTATATAACCAAGCAAGCGCCACGAGAACAAACCAAAGTAAATAAAAGTGGGATCGTTGTGAATATCCGGATCAGCAAAAGACAATAAACAAACTTTAAAAAGACGCCAGGCCCATAAAACAGCTGAGAAAATGGTACTCTCCAATTTGCTTTAAACAAGTAAGTACATGAAAGATCTTATATTTGAACTGCGGAGAAAGATATGAAGACATGATTGATCATCGAAGTTATATGCAAAGCTTTATTAGAAGAGATGAAATTAAATCCTGAAAAGAAATGATTCGAGCCCATGACCTCTGCGATACTGGTGCATTTCACAAACTGGCTCGAGTCCTGGTTCGAGTCTCGGTGTAGGCTCGATTTCCGCCGCTTTCTCGAGTCCGGTCTATGTTCCTCCCCGAGAAGAGACGGCTGGACGCGTGAGCGGCAAAGCATGTCTGTGACGTATCTTCATAATGTAATTCTTGCGGCGCTTCAGGCGGCAGGAAATGTCATCTGATGACAATCATAGGCAGGCACACATGACGCCTACGACTCGTAAAATTTGTGGCGTTTTTTCACATTATTGTTGCGGAAGGGCTTTACATGCTGTGTTCTATAGAAG